CTGGGAAACCCTGAAGTGGTCTTCTGCAGGGATTGAGAACATGGATTTTGGACTCAGTTGGGCCTGGGTTAGAATCCCTACCACTTCCAGGCTATGTGACTTCAGGCAACCTGCTTAACGTCTCTGAATCAGTATAATGAAAATAATAAGTACTACCCCATTCTGAAGAGTAAATATACAATAAATGTTGACAACTACTATTATGACTAACTTTCATTACAATATTGTTCTATTATAGCATAAAGAGATTCTATTAATGTTATCGTTACACTCTCTTAGACATGCATATACACAATTCATCTATATACACGTATGTAGATACCTATAACCTCATAACCTCATAACACACACAAACTCCCATCAATCACATACACCCCACACTGACATACAGAGCAGCACCCTGGACTCACCATGTACCAGGCACCTGACTCCTTACAGCGGCCTGTGAAGATTGTACATTTTTATCTCCCTCTTTTCAGATGAGGTTACATATATTATATGCAAAAACACCCACTGTATCCTGGGATGTGGACACTTCTGGCAGCTCTGGGAACTCTGAACTCCCTCCCTCTGTATCAGAGGAGGCCAACCCAATTTCCACTGTCATCTCCAGGGCAGCCCCAAGCTGGGCCCCAAGTGCTGACTGCCCTCCATCCCTAGGACAAAGGCCCAACCTGGCTTTCATGCCAGCTGCAGTTGGGGAAACCCCTGCTGCCTGCAGAAACCAAGATGACTTTGAAAAGGAAGAGACAGAAGCCAGGGGGTGGCTAGGCCACTCCCTGTGGGGGCAGGTGCTAAGTAACTCTATAAACTCTGGCTAATGATGCAATTACAGCCATAAACAGAGCCCCAGGAGGGATCCAGGCCAGAAGCCAGACCCTCAAAGGGCAGCCAGGCCTGAGAGGTGGGAAGCCCCTCCCACCTGCTTTCCAGCTGAGAGGCTGAAAGGGAGGCCTCACTGGCCATGGAGGTGAGCACTGGGTACTCCCATCATCCCAGAACCCTGGATGGGCTCCTGCCTGCCCTGGCCCACCCTCCTACCCACCTCTGACTGTGAGTTACCAGGCCATCAGCCCACAGAAGCCCAGGGGCTCTCCCTGGATTGAGTGCTCACCTGAGATGTCCTCAATCCCTGCACCCCTTCCATGGGACACAGAACCAGGAGACCTGGGTTCCCATTTGGCTGCACCTCACAGAGCTGAGTTGAGGACAAAATAGCACTGCAGCTGTAACAGGCCTTGTAAACTGTAAGCAACATTGGCTGCTCTCCCGCACAAGCGGAGCATAGAGTCACCCTAAACAGCCCTTCATTTACACTCTCTGGTTCCCGACTCACATCTAGAAGCCAGGAGGCAGGCAGAACGAAGGGGTCCAAGTGAATTCCACGGCTGGGGAAACTGAGGCATGGTACAAGCACACCTCAGACTACCAGGCAGGGCTCCCAAGGCAGCCAGCCCTTCCCCTCTCCAGCCTCTTCTGGCCTGGCTGTCTCTCTCCCAGACTGCGATCTCCCTGAAGGCAGGGCCTGGGAGCCATCTCTCAGGCTGGGAAGAGTGAAGGCCTCAGAGGGAACAAGCCAAGGAACCAAGAACTGCGATCTGATCTGAGGGCACCCACATCTGGCAGCCTTGGAGGACACCAGAGACCAGCCCCCTACCTTCCCCTCCACCCCCAGTTGCCCAAGAGTGCCAGGTCTTGGGCCGGTGGAATCTCAGCTAGCAGGGTCCTGAGCCCACATCCCAGAGGTGTCACTGGGGACCTGAACCGGCCTGTCCCCTTCCCTGCTCACCCAAGCACTCCTCTCTCAGGGTGGGGGGTGGGGTCTGGGCGGCAATTAACTGACACTTCCCCAGAGAACACTAAGCCAAAGCGCTAAAGTTTAGTCCAGAAACTGTTCGCGCAGAACCATCCCCAGAACGGACGGGCGGCAGGAGTGGACGGGGCATCTGAGAAGAACCCCGCGGTGAGGGGCTGGCTTGGAATGAGGAGGGGGTGGGGGAGCCCTGGGCAATGCGGGCGCTCGCGCAGACGAGCCCCGCCCCAGGCGCCCTCTCCCCCTCCCTCCCTTCCTCCCTCCCCCTGGGCGCTGGGCTGGGGCGCGCCGGGTGGCTTCAGCGCGAACCTGCTCGCGCAACCCTGAGCAGCTCGAGGCAGCCGTGCGTGAAGCCAGAACCCCCGGCGGGAGGGGGCCGAGGGGCGGGGGAGCCGAGCTGGCATCAGCCCGCTCCCTTCGAGGAGGCGAGCGCACTCGCTACGGCCGAATAGCTGAGCGGGGTACCGGGAGGAGGGGAGAAGAAGGAGCGCTGACTCGGGGGCGGGACGGCCTGAGGTTGGGCGGTGCGGACTCAGGGAATCGGGGGGAAGGGGGCGTGTTTTCCGGGATTCGGGACCGAGAAGAAGGGGGATACTCAGGGGGCGGGCAGATGGCTGGGAGCTCCAGGGAAGGTAGAAAGAGGGGCGTGCAGTGGGTGAGCTCTAGGGTTGGGCTTCCCTAAGGTCGTGGAATAATGCAAGGGGGAGAAAAAGACTGCGCTCAGGGATACCGGGAGACTCTGGCAGAGGCGGCTTCTTCAAGAGACCGAGGGGGAGGAAGGGACGGGAAGGGAGGGAAGGATGGTACTTCCACCCGCCCCCCCCCTCAGCTTCCAGCAGCCCGGCCCCCGGGGCGTGGCGCCGCTCCGGCCCTCCCATTCCCCCGGACCATCCAGGCAGGGCCTGGCCCGGCCGGACTCGGCCCCCGCACACCTCCCCTACCTCCGGCGCCCTCCCCCGTGCCACCCGCCCCAGCCGCGTCCGGTGGAGAAGAAGTGGGCGCCGGGCCCACACGCCCTCAAACTTCTTGCAAGTTCACTCCCACGTCTCCCGCCCCTTCGACACCCAGCTCCCGGGCCGGGAAGGCCCGTGCCCGCCACGGCCCCTCCCGCCTGGTTACATAAGGTCGCAGAGAAGCCGCCCCCCGGCCCGGGCCTGAAGGGAGGGGCTGAAGGGGCTCCCAAGCTCCGCGGGCAGCGCCGCCCCGGCCATGCGCCGGGCGTCCCGGGCTAGACGGACAGCGGGGCGGGTGGCAGCGCGGCGCACACGGTCTCGCTCCCCTTTCCAGTCGACACCCCCACCCACCCACCTGTCTCCCGGACCCACTGGATCGGAGCAGGGGAGCCTGGGTCGGGGGTTCCGGGCCCTCCGCGCACCCCTTGCCCCCCAGCGCTGCTCACCTAACTATGAAGGTCAATCCGTCCGCCGCCCGCGCCCCGCGGCTCCGGCAACTTGTCCCAAGTTCAGGTGTCCGGCCCGAGATATGTGCCAGCCACCCCCTCCCGGGCTCCTCAGGCTCCGCGCCACCAGGGAGGCCCGCCCCCGTCCGCCCTTCCTTCTGCCGTCGGCGCCGCCGCCGCTCCCTACGTCCAGCCGGCGGCCGCCGCCTCCGCTGTCACCGAGCCCCGCGCCCGGCGCCGGGGCTCTTGCTGTCACTCCGCACCCACTTCCCGCCGCGCCCGGCAGAGGGCAGCACCCTACCCCCGCGGCCCCGCCCCGCCCCGCCCCGCCCGACTCCGCCCCACGTCGGCCTGCCGCGGAGCCCGCTGGGAAGCGTAGTCCTCCCTGCCGCTCGGCTAGGCACGCCGGGATTTGTAGTGCCGCTCTGTGAGTTCAGGCCTGTACAGGGACTTGGTGTTTAATTTGGAAATTTTGTTCCACTTCGTTTCTACTCCTTTCGCAAGTTTTCTCTTTTCAATAAGTGATGTCCGAACCACACAGATCACCACAATACACCCTGTGGCCTATCTGACCCCAAGGAGAGGCTTGCAGCGGGCTGGCTTTCCTGGAGTCTAGGAAAGATGTAGGATCCCAGATGGTGTGCTGTTGCCATAGAAACCCCTCTGTGTCAAACCTCAGTTTCCCTCCTGGTTTGGAGTGGGGTACCAGACCTGGATCTTGAGCATAAGGGACAAGGTTGGTCAGCATGGTAAAGGAAATATGACTATAAAATAGAGCCCACCTCCCCTCTAGTTGTGAGTTCTCCGTTTATGTATACGCCCTCCCCACCTAGACCTCATCAGCCTGAGCTTGCAGGTACCCCCCACTGCCATGTTGCTGGACAGAAATTTCCTGACCTCTTTCGTGTCACCTTCCCCTGCTGGAAGTTACAGGGTGCTGAGCTATCATTCTTTACCTTTTCCTCCTCTTCCTCCTCCTCCTCCTCCCCATCCCCATACCGTGTCCCTCCCCGCCCCCCACCAGGTTTCCGGGTCTTTTTCTGGGAGGGTCCTATGGAGGACAGGAATGAAGTCCAGAAGGACAAGACCTCTTGCTCAGTTGGTTAGAACAAATGGGTTTGATTTTCATGTGATTCAAATAGCTATCCCTCTTGTCCATGGTTGAGAGCCAGCCCTTCTTTAAAGACAAGCCCTGGGACATAGGGGTCTGGGTTAAAATACAATAGGCATAACTCAGCCCAGATCTTCTGGAGCCCTCCTGGAACCTACTGGTGGCATCGGGTGATCTCTCCCTAAAGGATCCGTGACTGTTACAACTGTGTATCGGCATCCAGCCTTACTCTGAAAGCTCCTAGTGGAACTTGATCACAGATAAGGAGGAAGAGGCCTAGATTTAGGATACATTGGACCCCTAGTCACACTGCTAGTGCACATGTGTGGGGTCACTCTGGTGGTAGTTTGGTAAATTAGGTCAGCAGAGCATTTTGGATTGCCCATTACAAAGGAATGTCCTGCTTCCATGCCACTACCACAGTCTTCCGTCTCCAGAGAGAAGATGTGAACAGACTCCAAGCTTTGAGGGATGCAGGGCCTACCCCCAAGCCCTACCCTGTGCCCTATTTCTCTTAGGTTCTCAGTGACCCACTGCAAACCTCCTAGAAACTCAAGGAGAACATGGTGCAGCAGAGGCAAATGTGCCCCTGACTCTCATTGTCCCCATTGTCTGAGACCAGGGGCTGCCTTACAGGCCACAACTGCCCTCTAGAAACAACAGGCTGGCCGATATGGAGAAGAAAGATTTATTGTTAGAGAAAGTCCAGAGTCCAGAGAAGGGAGGCTACATGCAGAGAGGAAATGCAGAGAGAACCCCCTGTAGCCTGGGAGGCCCAGAGGGAGAAGGGAGCCTGGGCATCCATGCGCTGAGTCTAGGCGGCGGTGGCAAAGCCAACCCTGTTGTTGCCCAAGTCATAGACGGAGTAGTAGGACCTGAGGAAGACGTCCCCAAGGATCCACAGGGGCTGGCCGTTCTGGGAGGGCAGGTAGGTGACCTCGACCCCCAGCATGCAAAAGCTGTCGTTGTTCTGCACAACACAGAAGGGCAACACTCATTCATCCGCTCACACAGTGATGGGGCACTGCTCAGCCCAGAGCCCCAGGCCAGCAGCACAGATGCAGAAACAGGTGAGCCAAAGTTTCTGCCCTTGAAGGCTCACAGGCCAGCTGAGTCTCCAGAGCCAGAGCCGGGCTGGTGGGGGATTCTGGCGTGGCTGAGGGCAGGCTGCAACAGGCCTCCCTCTGCAGGGTCTCCTTGACTCCCTCCTGTTCCTGATTTGGAGCAGGTCAGCCTGGCGGTAAAGTCTTGGAGCGGAGCCAGACCAGCTTGGGTTCAAAGCTTAGCTTCACCCTGACTAGCTATGTGGCCTTGGGCCAGTTACAGAGAGTCTGAACCTCCAAGTTTTCGTTTGTAAAATAGGATCAGTATCTCGCTCATTGAATGTTGTGACAAGTAATCAGGGAAATGTAGACAAAGTGCTTCCCTCAGTGGCTTTACTCTCATAAGTGATCAACAAAGAGCCAGCTCCCCTCCCCCTCTAATTAATAATAATCATTAATAATAGGTGGCATTCTGCTCTTTCATAGCCTCGTTCCAGAGACGGGGGTTTAGAATCAATGGATGGGGAAAAGAAATCAATGCTGCAAGGCATCAGGAAATGGCGCGAGGTAAGGAGACCCAGCGTTTCTGGCTACCCACCCCTTCCTCCCACCCCTCACCCCCATCCCCCATCCCCCACCCTCCCGATGCAGGGGCCAGGGCTTACATTGAGGATGTAGGAAGCGGGTGGCAGAGGGAACTGCACACCATTGATGATGAACGTGAGGGTGGGCAGGCTCTGGATGTTGTTACAGTCCACGAGAAACTGCAGAGAGGAACAGGGCCCAGGATGCCTCATCTCCCCCCTGAGAGGACCTGCCAACCCCATCACCTCAGCCCCTCAGGACCTGAGCCTGAGCCCCAAGCCTGCTTTGGGACTGGAGGCTGCAACACCAGTACTGCTTGTGTTACACATGAGGACTCACGTGCAGAGGGTGGGATCTGGGGGGACCTGAGCATCTTTCTCACCCCCAAACATGACTCTTGCTTGAATTTTCCCCATGAGAGAGACTAAATCTACACCCCCTTCTCTGCAAGTGTCCTTTTAAAACACGCAAGTCTGTAGAAAGCATGGCCCATCAGTCCACCAAAGTTAGTGGGAATGCATTAATTAGGCAAACCCTTTGGTAGGCTCAGGAGGGGGCACGGGGCAGAGAGCATGGCCCTGTGGAGGTGAGGGAGCTGTGGACTGAAGGGTTATCCCTTGTCACTCATGGGCTTCGCAGCACAGTCTAGTTATTTCCCTCTTACTGCAAAGCCCGGCAGGTGTGTAACCTGTTTCTGCTAAGGGGCTGAAGCTCAGAGGAAATTCTGCCTAGTAGTGACTTCCCCACACCCTTTTAGCACAAGCATCTGGTCCCCTGGATCAGCCTTCGGGCCCCCAGCCAGCTCCCAGCCCCAGTCATCCTGGGGCCCCCACCTCCAGTGTCTGGGGGCAGCGAGAAGCACGGAGGCCAAGAATCAGGCTATTCCTGTGCTCCCAGGAAAACCCATAAATGCCCCCTGGCTGGCCTCCCCCAGGGAAGGGGCACACCTCCGCCACACGCACCTGTCCATACTGGTCCTCCTTGGCCCCTGTGGCCTGTAGAAGGGAGCTCATGAACTGCTGGGGCACGGTGAGCAGAGATGTGCCAGTGTCCACAATGGCCTGGCAGCCCTGGGAGCACCAGCCCGTGGCCTGGTCACCAATGAGGAACCTGAACAGTGAGGAGACGGGCGGCCTCAGCACCTCCCAGCTCAGGGCAGCTAGGGGATGAGCTGCAACCACAGAATCAAGGTGCACCTCTGGAAGATAAGGACTCTGCAGAGGCCAATCCAGCCATCCTCCTGCCTCATACCAAAGTCTGTCAAAGGCCTAAATGGCCTTGGAATGTCTCTCTAAAGAGTTCCAAGGATGGTTCTAGAAACACTGAAGGCCAGGGTTACTGATTCATTGTAAGTACTTCGAGCAAATTAGTCCCTCCCCATCACACACCCCAGTTTTCTAATGTCTAAGCCCCTAGGGTTGGACTACAGGGTCCAAAATGTCTGGGATTCCCAGTCCTGCCCCTTCGTATGTTGTCCCCACCCCACCCTCCTTCTCCAGGCCGACCTGGGTCTTGAAACCCCAGCTGAGGGCAGCTGTGGCTTTGCAGGAGCAGGTCTCTGGGGTCCTCTGTCCCCCTGCCACCCGGCAGTACCCGTGTGACATGAAGTGCCTCAGAGCCTGCTCTGAGAAAGTGCCCACACCCACAGGGCCCACCATAGACTCACTCCTCCATGCCAATCTGCCAGTACAACTCCTGGGTGACGGGGGCCCAGTGGATCTGCCCCGTGTACAGGCTGCTGTCCACACCTCCGAAGATGACTGCTCCCCCGTCCTGAAAGCCCTGCTGGCTGCAGGACGTAAAGCAAAAGTGAGTCAGGAAGTGGCTGTGGAAAAGGCAGGAAAACAGAGGTCCTGCCCTGGCTCCAGACTGGGGCTCCCTGAGGAGCGGCTGTGTCTCCCCTCAGACGGGGGCTCCCTGAGGAACGGCTGTGTCCACCCCCAGCCCCCGCCTGGAGCTCAGACTTCCCAGTGCCTCAGGCTCCCAGGTGCTCCACCAAGCGCTGCCTCTGGGGAAGCCTCTGGTCGTCTGGCACCCCACCCTGCCACACACCACGTTCTCCATTCCCTTTCACTTTGTGCTGCTGGTGGAGCGTGTCCACGGGAGCCTGATCCGGGCCCAGCTTGTTATTTTTCTGCTGGGATCGGAGGGAGGTAGGGCCCAGGTGGAGGGGAGGGCAGGGCCTCCCCTGTTAGACAGAAAACAAACCTGAGTGTGGAACTGGGCAGAGCTCCTACAGGCTGAACTGAGAGTACTTGTAAACAGAGGCCGGCAACCAACGTAACAGGATAATGTGGTTGAAAGATTTAGATGACTAAGCCCCAGAGAGTAGATATTGACTATCTCTAGAAGGTAGTGGTCTAATTCTGGAGAGGAAAGAAAGTCCACCCCAGGCCACACGCGACACCTCACCCCCCACCCCTCCTACTGCCTGGCACCTGGACCCATCCACATAAATCACTGAGTTGGCTCGTGTTTGTGGTAAGAATAACAACTTGTTAGGAGTTCATGGTGGACCTAGACCAGGAGACTCCAGGACCTGGCTAGAACAATAGATCAAAGGACATGAAGCAATAGATTTCTACACAAAAGAGGTGTCCAGGTAGAAGACATTTGGTCAGAAGGAAATGAGCTAACTGGGGCTCTGGGCAGGAGGTAAGCCCAAGGGGTAGCAATGCTCAAAGAAGGGTTCAGCTGGAGGAAGGAGAGATACTGTCGTGGCCAAGAAGTACAAAGAAGAGGCCGAGTGGGCAGGGACGGATGCAGGGGCTGGGGAGTGGAGGAGGAAGAGTCAGAAGCCCAGGAGGAAAAGCCCTGCCGAATATGCCTGCTGGGAGGCCTTCAAATCCCAAAGTGTTGAATCTCAGCCATCCAGGGCCACGGGGGGAATGGGCTGGGAGCTGGGGACCGCCAGGTGGTTCCTTACCTGCTGAGGTAGAAGCTGAAGACTGGGCTGGTGAGGGCACCCTCCTGCAGCATGCCCTGCAGGGCGGTGGGGGCCCCACCCATGGACAGGGCAGGGTAGGCCATGCCCATAATGCCATCGAAGTTCGCATAGAGGAAATTGGTACCCGGCTCCTTCTCACTCAGGCCGAACTCCTGGTTGGGGACCTTGATGCCCTGGACCTGGAGGGGGAACAGAGGATGGGAGATGACAAGTGTATCTTCACCCACCTCCCCCAGGCTCCCCCTCCTCAGACCCCTCAAGGGTCTGTTCTTTATCCCTCCTTTGCTTCTGCTGCCTCTCTTCTTGTCAGGTTTGCAAAAGCCACTTTCTCTTCCAAGAAGCCATCCCCGACCGCTGCAGCATTCCCCACCCCAGCCTTCTTTTTCCCGAGGCTTTAAGTTCCTTAAGGACCAGGTCATCCCAACCATTGTGGTGCCCTCGGTGCCTGGCACATGATGGCCCGCAGTGAGGGTTCAATGAGTGAATGGATGAGCTTTTTTTTTTTTTTTTTTTTCTGTGCCTTGTGGCATGCGGAATCTTAGTTCCCCGACCAGGAATCAAACCCATGCCCCCTACAGTGGTAAGCGTGGAGTCTTAACCGCTGGACCACCAGGGAAGTCCCTGGATGAGCCTTTACTGTACTGATTTTCTGGCCTGTACGGTAGAGCACTAGGTGTTTCCCATATTTTTCAGGGCCTCCATCTAAGTCTCCCCATCAGACAGTGAGGACTTTGAGGTTAGAATCCAGCTCACAGCCCCGGACTACCTTCCCCACATCTCGGTGTGGGGATGGGGGCAGCCGGCAGTATCACTCACTGTCAGAGTGTCATAGCCGAAGAAGCCGGTGAGGCTGCCACTGCCATACTGCAGGGAGAAGGTCTGCCCATTGGTGGAGTAGGTGGAGGACAGGCTGGGGTTGAAGCGGGTGTGGCTGGCTGCAAGGGAAGGAAAATTCGGGAAGTCAGGCTGGCCCACTCTCAGGCCTGCCGGGCTGCCCACCTTTCTCCCAGCCTGGGCTCACATCCTGGGGACTCAGCACTCCCCCCACGCCTCACCCCCCACTGGCCACTGAGTCAGGTGGTGGCCAGCTGACATTCCTGGCATTGGAAGACCCACAAGAACTGGCCAGCCTTGACTCCAAAGCCCCCTCTGACCTACAGAATCTTGAGATGCCCTAGGATGGTGACCTCCCTATGGGCAGGTTATATAGAATCTATTCATCTCCCTGACCCCCAGCAGATCTCCTGACACATGGCGAGAGCTGAGAAATTACTCATCGGATGAAGGAGTGAATGAACCTCCAGGACATCTGTGCATCCCCTGACCCTCACCTCACCCCGAGGAGAAGCTGGCCACACCAGGATCCTGAGATAGCCTAGGATGGAGCCAACGAGGGACCTTCTGGACTAGAGGTGTCAAGACCCAAACCCCAAGGCTTTGGCAGGGACCAAGGCAACCCTAGGAAGTGAACATCTCCTGTCTCCAAATACAACTACAGGGAGGGGACCACATCTATATCTTTCTCCCGTGTCCCTTGAGATACTCAGTAAGAACTTAGTAAATCATGGGGTGGAGTAGCATAGAAAGACTGTTGCAGTGTGGAGTGGGATGGAATGGCATTGCCCAGAGCAAGCAGAATGGAGTGGAGTGGGCGGGGCTGGGCTGGAGTAGGTGAAGGGATATGTACTGGCGAGCAGGGAAAGCAGAGGGGCCACCCAGCTCCATGCCCAGCTTCTTCCCTCTGGCTTGGGCATGTGCCACATGACCCTGGACCAGTCCCTGGTCCTCTCCAGGACTGCAGCTCTCCCCAGCAATCTTTATGAAGTGCGGCCCTTCCCCAGAGGGTGTCAGTGCCCTGCCCTGCCAGCCGCCCTCCCCTGCCCAACCTAGCACTCACTGCAGGCCTGGCTCTGGCAGTAGACAGAGGGCACCCACAGGTTGGAGGAGCCAGTATCAAAAAGGACCAGGAAGTTCTGTGGTGGGGTCCCGATGCTGATCTCACCAAAGTAGGCAGCCTGGGCGGGAGAGGGGGGACATGGACAGGCTGTTAGCACTGGTGGGATCCGGGGACCACCAGGCCCAGCCTCCTCCACGGACAGAGTGACAGAGTGACCAGCCCCACAGCCCGCACCAGAAGCAGGGGCCTGAGCCTGCCCTCCACGCTCGCCCAGAAACCACAGACCTTCGGTCCAAGCCCGCCCGGGGGCAGCTGCAAAGGTCTCTGTGGACTCAGCTGCCGGGTCAGCAGGGGCCCCTGAGTGCTCCGCCCGCCAATGAAGTCTCCGGGCTGGCAGGTCTGAGAGACGGGGGCAGGCCCCAGGGGCCGGGTGGGAGGGTGCAGAGAGGAAGGGCGCAGCTCACAGCCCAGGCCTGGCCTTTGGCAGCAGGGACATGGGGAGCCCCGGGGAGGGTCAGGACTCACGTCCATGTAGTCCATGGGCTCGGAGGTCACGCTGAAGTCATTAAAGCGGTACTTCTGGGCGGGGTCGTACTTGTGGGTCCTCAGGAAGTCCTCCAGTATCCCCTTCTCTTTCATGGTCTCACGGATGGACTTTAATTTCTTCACGGGGACTCTGCAGACGGGCTGGGGTCAGGGCAGGACCTCCCTCTTTCCTACAGAGGCTCTAATATCCCAATCTCTCTCTCTCTCCATCTCTGTTTGCCTCAGGCTCCCTGCTGCTCTGTCCCCCGGTGTCTGCGGCTTGTACGTGTCTGTGTGTCTCCCTCTTTCTCCATCTCTGTCTCAATCTCCGGTTCTCTCTGGCTTTTTCTCCCTCTGCCTCTCATTTTCTTCCTCTCTCTTTCTCTTTCTTTCAAAACTCTTCTCAGGGCTTGCTCTGAGATTCAGAAAACAACTGCCTTCACCCATGCATGCCCCCACCCCATCTCATGGGTCCTCATCCCACCCTGGTCCTCCACTCTCAGATATCCCATAAACACTTTCCCAGGCAGGGGAGAGGAACTTCAGACATTACCCTTTGTAGGATTTGTACATTTTTGTTCTGTTTTGTTTTGGTTTTGGTTTTGTTTTTTTTGGCTGTGCCGCGTGGCTTGCGGGATCTTAGTTCCCTGACCAGGGATTGAACCCGCGCCCTCAACAGTGAAAGCGCGGAGTCCTTAACCACTGGACGGCCAGGGAATTCCCAATTTGTGCATTTTTAAAAAAGATTTCAGAAGCACTTCCCTGGCGTCCAGTGGTTAACACTCTGCACTTCCACTGCAGTGGGAGCGGGTTCAATCCCTGGTCAGGGAACTAAGATCCCACATGCTGCACAATGTGGCCAATAAAATAAGATAAAAGTTTCATAGATGGCAAAGTTCACCCCAGAGAAAGTCCTCTGGTACAGTGGCTGTCAGGCACCTGGTGCCGGTTGGCTGTGACAGAGCACAGGACCAGGGGAAGGGCACTAGACTGGGGACTCAGAAGACAGGGTCCTAGTTCTGCCCCTGCAGCGACTTGTCTGGCCTGGATCAATCATGCTCCTCTCAGGATGCAGGGACAGTGGGGAGGTTGGCCTGGGTGGTCCGGAGCCCGAATCAGCTCTGGAACTGTATGTACTGAATTATGGGTTTCTGCCCACGTCCTCCCAGACCTGCTTGCTGCCATTGCCTAAGGGTCTCTGCGGGTCCACCCAGGCCTTGTTCCAGGCTCCAGAATTCCTGCTGCTT